CTCTCTCTCTCTCTCTCTCTCTCTCTCTCTCTCTCTCTCTCTCTCTGTGTGTGTGTGTGTGTGTGTGTGTGTGTGTGTGTGTGTGTGTGTTACATACTGCATTTCACACGGGTCCCTTTCGGGCCCGGCCACTACGCCTAGGGGTTACCACAGGCCTGGACACGATAGTCCAGGCCGGTCCGGTCCAAAGGACGGACCTTTCTGCGGAAGGCCGCCCGGTAGGCCCCGTCGCACAGGCCCAGGCGGACACGGTCCAAACAATATTAGCGTTTGGACCAGCGGCCCCCTTGAGGCTGCCGCCCGCAAGGCCGATCTGAAACCGCAGATCGGCAACCGGATCTGACGGTTCAGATCACGGTGCTGGTTCACAGCAGCAAGGCCGAACAGGCCACCACGGTACTTAGTACCGAGCGGCGGGCTGTTCAGGCATTCTGGAGGAACGCAGCAGTGAGGTAGCGCTGCGCTAAGTTTAGCGCCAGCGCTCAGCGCATCAGGACGATGCAGCGCAGATTAGCGCAAGGGAAGGTTAGAGGAGCAGCGGCCGACTTACCTGCAGGAGCGTCCATAGCTCCGATCTTTGTTGCCGGCCTTCAGCAGCGCCAAGGTCACACCTTGCCATCACAGGTAAGACCTGGACAGCAAGGCACTCCACCTCCTTCTCTCCTCTGCCCCTCTCGGATCTTCTTCTTCTTCTTCCTCAGACTTCTTCTCCTTCTTCTTCTCCTTCTTCTTCAGATTTCAGACTTCTTCTTCTTCTTCTTCTTCTTCTTCTTCTTCTTTTTCTTCTTCTTCTTCTTCTTCTTCTTCTTCTTCAGACTGGAGACGATCGATACGAGTTGGACAGAGATCAGTGGTTGGACTTCGGAGATAGGAGGCTGTGATACTTACCGGATTCAAGACATTGGAGATAGTTGGGAGTGATACCTGGCGGCATCATAGATCGGGCATCGGCTACATTAGGATTCTGTACCTTCGACATTGGTGACTTGTGTCTACGGCATTCTGACACGATTGTTTGTGTGTTGAGTGATGTTTGGGGTAAGTCCAGTCAATGTGAGTCAGTCCATTTCTCAGACTTCCACTGTATACATGCTCATCCTATATTGGTTGATCTTTGGTTCTGCCCATACTTGGCAAAGTATTCACCAGTATGCAACTCTCTCTCTCTCTCTCTCTCTCTCTCTCTCTCTCTC